CTAGATCCTTCTAGACCCTGAACATGCCAAATGCTCTATATGTTTAAATATTTGGCATGATGTTGTGACTGTAGCACCCTGCCTTCACAATTTCTGGTATGTGATTTAATTATCTTCTTGTAATAGAATTGACAACTGACAATTTTTAATTGTTCATGTGGTTGTGTTGTTTACAGCAATGGATGTTTCTCAGAATGGTTGAAAAGGTGTCAAGCAAAACGTTCTAGTGTTCTATGTCCTCAATGCAGAGCAGTTGTACAGTTTGTTGGAAAAAACCATTTTCTGCATAGTATTGAAGAGGTTTGTTTTTCCTCTTTTATGTTTCTTATTTTGCTGGTTCTGTTTGATACGCGTAAGTGTCTATAGCTGATTGTCCAATTTTAGATCATTAAAAGTCTGTAGTTTCGTTATTACGAGGTCCCATCTTATGAATCCATGTTCTGAGAAGGTTTATGTTTTTTTGTACTTTGAGAATCTAGAAGGTTACAGCTTATTTCATGAACCTTCAGTGGTTAAATTTTACATTAAACTTCATATTGGTGCCTAGTTAGTCTTTAACGTGATAGGTTTATTATCTCCCTTGAACTCGTAAACTTTAGTTTTTATTATCTTTTGTTGGCAAAGCTACTTTGTTTTTGAAACGTTGCTGTCTTTGAGCAGGATATACTGCAGTCTGACTCTTCTCTCAGGCGCTCAAAAGAAGAGATTGCAGTTTTAGATTCATGTTCATCAATCAAGTCACCTCTTGTAAGTTTTTCATTTTTGTCTCATGACATCTTATCCAATGAAGACCCAGTATAATCTAGTGATACTATATATATACATATATACTCTGCCCTGGAGAGTTGAGAGGGCTTTTTTATTTGGTATTCAATATTCATGTACATGCATGCTGTGAGCTCTATATTTATATACTTTTAAGGAATGTGCTCTGCGTATAAACTCTCACGAGTTTATGTTATTGTGATATTCTGCAAGCCTGCAGGATGCTATACTTCACCGATAAATATCAATGTGACACTACTTTGTTCTTTACAGAAATCTACTACTTTGTTAAGTAATCTGCCCTAGCTAACAAACTTAGTGTTTGCTCTTACCTTTGCTTTTCAGCACCTGAATATTTTTTTGCTGACCAGAGCTTTATGTTTAACTTATATTGTAGAATTTCTATGTTTGAAGAAAAAGCTCCAACGCTCAAGTGTTGCTTTCGTAATTGGTTTGATATGAAAATTTGAAATCACTTATGCATTTGGTATTAGTGTATTTTTTATGTTCAAATTAGCTCTAAAGTGACACTACTAGGAAACAAGCTCACTATATGCATTATCAAGTTTGTCATGCTATTTGCTAATCATATCAGGATGCTCCATTTTTGTTAACTTAGATTAAACAACGTTCTTCATGTGTCAACCTTTTTTCTTTGATTAATAATATCGCATTATAGGTTGTTTGCAGTGGACAAAAACAAAAGCGGAAAAGGGCTCGTGTGTTACCTGATGAGGATAATGATAGAGATTTTCCATGCCCCCAATGTGGTATAACTTATTTTCATTGTGGAACTCCATAATGTTTATGGTGCAATTGAATATGATATTTTTTCGACAAATTTTGTCTCATCCGAAATTAGATATGGAAGTGCTTTGAAAAAAAATGTGATAATTTTGAGAGTGTGAATGGATGAGATAAAAATATAATGATTAGAGTTGATGTGAAGTATAAATAATAAGATTGATAGTGATTGTTAGTTAGAAATATGTGATTAGATGAATGTTGTTTTTTCTTGGAAAATATATAATTATGTTTCATTTTTTTCCATATCCCATCACTGCCATACTTCTAACTGTTAGTAATAACTCCCACATCCATGTTAGTTCCACTTTGGCAATCTTGTAAAGACCATAATAGCGTCTGTGTTATGTCTTTTTCTTAGCCTCAACGATTGTGTATTTTTTTCTCTCTTCCCCTTTTTTTCTGATTTCTATATCCTTTTATTTTTTGTTATGAATATTTGTATGTATGTCTCAGGCACTGAATACGCTGGTTTCCGGTGCAATGAGAGCACTGTTCATCTTCAGTGCCAATCATGTGGTGGAATGATGCCTTCCAGATCAAATGTTGCTGTGCCACAACACTGTAATTTATTGCCAAATTTACCCATATACTTATCATATACAAAGATGTTTGTATAGTCGGATGCCGGACAAGTTTTACAATGTCTACATGATGCATTTAAACGTGGACATTTGACGTGGAGCAAATGTGTGCATGTGCTTGATTTCAATTATTTCTAAGAATATCAGAAAATTGAAAAGAACAAAAAATTGGTAAATATTTGTTATTTTCACTATGACTTTCGACCTTCTCGTGGAAAATATAATTTACTTCTGGTAGCGTATTTACTGTAATTTTAAATATAATCTACTTTGTAATTGGAAAATTTCCCCACCATCTATATATTCATTCCTGGACTGGATTTTTCTGTGTTTTGGTAGCAGGAGTTTCTAATATTCCTTGTCTTATTTTTTTTTTTCAGTTTTAATCTCTTATCTCTTTTATTTTCATCATTCTTTATTTCACTTGTAGGTTATGCAGTATTTATTTAATCCAATTTCAGAAATATGCATTTCAGCAATTTAAGCACACTCATCAAGTGTGTGATAGTAACATCATTATTATTTATTAGGACTGACTAGATTTCCGTAAGAAAGACAACTATTTCTATTAAATTTAAAGATTTAAGCTCACTCATAGGATGTGATGAAATAAGTAGATATGAAATGATTTTTTCCATGTTGATTGATTATATTATTATTTTTCATTATGTACGTCAACAAATTATTGCTTAATACAAAAATGTTTCCTCTCTTTCAGGCCTAGGATGTGATCGAGCGTTTTGTGGTGCCTATTGGCATGCTCTGGGAGTCGCCCCTTCTGAGCCCTATCCTGCATGCAGTCCTGAAACTTTAAAACCTGTGAGTGAAATTAGTTTATATTCCCGCTTCCTAATTGTTGTGAAATTATTTCTGTTACTTCATTTTTTTTCCCTCAATTTCTCAAGTTCTTGTATACACCTTGCCTACTGCATTTGTTTTTCAAAAGATAACAAAAAAAAAAAAAGTTAGGATATGATTTTTTATTTTGGAGAAATGTACAGTTGAAATGCATTCGGGGTAGATTTGTATTATTTTTTATAATTTTTTATGATATACATTTTCTGGAAAAATGTTTTGGGTGAGAGATTTTCTAATATGGTTGTTTTTTCACAGAGGGTAGCTTGACCAGTTCTCTTATCCCAACTTTTTATCGGATTTTCTGAAAGACATGTTGGTGTTTGCATTTGATTTTTTTTTTGCTTCATGTCACAGATTGCTGATCATACCATAACAAGAATACCATTTTTGGCACACGAAAAAAATAGGCATGAACAAGATGTACGGTACATTTCATGATGACATTCTTTTCCTTTGGCTTTTTCCCCTTTTTTCACTTTACGTATTTTATTTCCCTGCAGATAACAGAAAAATGTATCAGGCAGATGGGAAGATCCTTCCAAGACGTGGTTTCAGAATGGATAAGAAAGTTGAGCAATGGAGAAGTAGGTAAGTACTGATTTAACAAAGTTTATCTCTTGTTATATAGACCATCAACCTTGTAGTGGATGGCCGAACTTCACAATGATGTATTTTCTATTTTTCGTTGTTTATTGAGGAGGCTCGTTTGTAGTCTAGTTCCAATTCTTTGCCAATGATATATAATATATGTTCATTTGTAATTATTTACTATATTTGTTAAATTAGAACGTTCGAACACCTAACTCAGTTTTTCTGGCAACTTAACTGGGGATGTGGCTCATGACGTTTTCATTCTTGATGATACATATTATTTAGTACATTAAGACTCAATCTAAGTTTATGGGTTTTTGGCGGCAAATAATGTTTGATGTGATCGAGTTACATTATCTATTCTAACATATTCATTTACTGCTATCCCCCTTCAGATAGAACACGACTTCCATTGCATCACCCTGATACGATTACTTCCCAGACACACGTTTGCAGGTAATTTCCAAACATCCGCTTGAATTTAGCATTTGTCAACAAATTTTGCTTAGTCAGCTTTTGTTCTATGCCCTTCTTTTTCCTCTTAACAATAAATAATGAAAGGCAACTTATCCGAAAATTCTTCCAGTTAATGTGCATTCTGGAATATAAAAAAAAAAAAAAAAAAAATTGTAAATGCGAACACTATTGATCCTCCTTTAAAAAGAAAAAAAAAAATGTGCATTCTGGATTTGACAGGGATACCTTGTGAATATTTAAATTGAATATATGTCTTCTATAAACTATGGCCTAAATCCATTTTCACTTGGATTGGAACTCATTAATCCGTGAAAAAACTAGGGATTCTTCGTGTTGCATCATGGAAATTGATTGGGCAAAAGCATTTCGAAAACTAGGTTTTGAAGCTATAAATGTGACCCGTAGGCTGCATCATTTTGTGTGGAATAAGGAGCTTCAAAAACCTTATCCTTTGAGTTTCAATTATTCTGTAATTTTGTATTTGTTGAAAGCACATTAATAAACTACGTGTTTGGACCTGTTTCCTTGTCCACAATCAATCTTATTTTCACCCCACCGCAATAAACTTTCCGAATGTAATTATTTTATAACATGAATTGCAGTGAGTGCTACGGCAAATTAGTCTCGTTTCTCTTGTACTGGTTCCGGATCACATTGCCAAAACATGTAAGTTTCTGTTTGCCTCAACATTTTATTCTTTTATGTGTCTTCGTTATTTTGTAGCTGCAGCTTTTCAAAAAAAAAATGCTCGTAAATCAACACATGATTAAAGTAAGATTAATAAAATCATTTGTTGGTGTGCATTTAGTTATTACCTCCTGAAGCAGTGGAGAGGCAAGACTGCTGGTATGGGTACGCTTGTCGAACACAGCATCACAATGAAGAACACGCTCGCAAGAGGAACCATGTTTGTCGTCCAACTCGCGGCACTTAAATGCCATAGTTTATTTCTTTTCTTTTTTCTCTTTATGTCCAGACTTATGTTTGCTTGGTTGGTTGGTTGTGTAAATACGTCAGTTTCACTTTGTTGGAACTTTTGCATAAATTGGGATGTTTTCTTTCAAATGCAAATTATCTACTAGTTTTTGAAATAGTATGGCTTTCTGCTTCATTAGAGGCATCACTATGAGATAAATAAGCTTTTGATATTGAAATGTTTATAGGACGATTTATTGCTTATGAAATACTAATGCAAACATCTTTTGAAAAAATAATTTATGTTCCACTTTAATTAAAGTCCTATTCAAGAAATAGATTTTTACAAAAGTGCTTCCAACCAAGCATTTAACAATTAGAGATGGTAGGTGTTTGGAGAACCACAACAATGTAGCTCTAAGTAGAATCTATTCACCTTTTGAAAGGGTGTTGATACAAGTTCCGATCATGAGGCTTTTAGTTCATGTTCTTGTGTCTGTAAGGCTATGTTTGGTAGACAAATAAGACAGTTTATAGTTTATTTGGTTAGTTTTTAAGCTTCCTGTATTCAAATAAGTCTCGTTTGGTAGGATGAGTTTTTTTAAGAAACTCGAGTTTATCCCATAAGTTTCTTTAGGTAGTTTTTCAAATAAGTTGATTAAATTTTTTATTTCAGCTAGTTTATCAGCTGATTTTACCAAACACTTTTATCATATAAGCTAACTTTTTAGCTATAAGATATAAGCTCGAAAATTATATATAAACTATTAACTAGCTTATCAGCTAGTTTTACCAAATATAGCATGAGTATTAAAAATATTTAATAAAGATTAAAGAAAGTGAAGCTTGTTAACATATGAATTATGACCTCTTGGAGTTTTTCTGGAATGATTCCGTGAGGATTATTAACCTTTAGATATACATGTAAGTTAGTTATTGTAGATAATTCAAGATTAAAAACTCTCACGAAATCATTTAAGTTCAGGGACGGATCTATATGTACTATAGGGGGTGCCATTGTCCCCCCAAGATTTGTAATTTCTAGTATATATATATATATATATATATATATATATATATATATATATATATATATATATATATATATATATATATATATATATATATATATATATATATATATATATATATATATATATATATATATATATATATATATATATATATATATATATATATATATATATATATATATATATATATATATATATATATATATATATATATATATATATATATATATATATATATATATATATATATATATATATATATATATATATATATATATATATATATATATATATATATATATATATATATATATATATATATATATATATATATATATATATATATATATATATATATATATATATATATATATATATATATATATATATATATATATATATATATATATATATATATATATATAAGTAATCATTTTTCAAATAAACTTACACAATTATGTAAAAATAGTAATTGTATTACTCTTTCTACTAATAATTCAACTGCAATTATACTCTTTTGACATTTTTGTATAATATTTTTTCTAATTTAAATAAATTGAATATATAGTAAATATGTGAAAAAATAAAAATTGGTATTTTTTGAAAAAGAAGACCATATAAGATATGCTTGGAAAGAAGAAATATCAAACCATTAGTATGGACTATGGAGGCAATCATTAATGATATTCATGAGTTGAGAGAGTGTTCCTCAATGTTAATTTGTTAATGTTAAGGTTTGAAACTTTATAATTTATATTGCACCATTATTATGTATAATTTTATAATACAACTTTCTATTTTTTATGTACAATAAATTAAATTTATGATTATTAAAAAATATATAGTCCCCCCAAAAAAAAATTCTGGATCCGCTCCTGATTAAGTTAGTTATTGTAGATAATTTAAAAACTCTCACGTGACGGGATAGTCTTCTCTATGATTTTTATCCTTAACTTGATTATGGATGGTTAACAAAGTTTATAGAGATCAGGCTGATAAATATCCTTGAAGGTAATTATATACGGAAACCCTCCTATATGTTGAAAAAGTTTGCAAAAGATGATGAAACTTGCATACTTCTGTTTTTCTTTTTTCCTTTTTTTTTTCTTTTTTTTTTTCCTATCTGCAGGTTGAACTTTTTCTTGCTTCACCATCCGCTATTCTCTTACATTAGCTATTTTCCTTAATTATCACAAGTATGCAATAAGGTGCAAAACATTTTACCCAAAAATGCAGAGAAGATAAAGATTTACTGCAAAAATAAAGCATTTTTCACACGAAAAGTAAGACACGGCTAAAGTTAAAGCCAAATTACATTCCAACAAACTAGAAGATGCTTGTCCAGAAGATGGAAATTCAACAACCTTATCTCCAAAACCCGAACCCGAAACACATATTTCATTTGGTAGCTAGAAAAGCAGTGCGAAAAGTAGCGATGAAGAAAAAGCAAAGACAATGGGATTTATATTACATCTCCCCACTTAGAACTAACAGAGCTTAGTGCAAAAGCAACGCCTACGCCACCCTCCCCCCGAGAAGCCCTCGTCCCTGCACACGATAGGAGTTTGCTAGTGATTAAGTTATTAATGCTTGTTCTCAAAGGAGTTTGCTGTGGCAAAAAAGTTGTTTCTGTCGCCAGTATAAGGATGAGGAACACTACAAAAATTTTACATGGGAATATGAGATCGATGAGCGTGGGAAGACAAAGGGTAGTGGGATTTCCAATGCATTATTTCCTAATCTTTTTCTTCTTAATTATCTTATGCCCACTATTATTTATGTACACTATTATCGATCAGTGTGTAAATTGTGATAGCAAACAAACATATCTTGGTTTACTTATTAATTATGTTTTCACGAATCAGAAAGCATCAACAACTGATTATATATTGACATGGTTGAAATAACAACTACTCCCTCATCTTCAATGTTTTAATGTTGTCATAGAATAAATTTTGATAAATGTCAATAAATTAAATGGATTGTGAACCATGTAGGATAAATGTAAAGTCTACAACTATAAAATTAAAAATTTGTCTCTAATGCACAATATAGTCTAACTACAATACACATGTACTACATGACGTAAATATATTAATATTTGTACAATAGAAAATCTAAAATAATTTATTTTGTGATTGTAAAATTATGTATAATGAATATAAAAAAAAAAAAGAGAATGAATAACTAACAGAAGTAATAATTAATTCAAAATGGGGTCCGTATTTTTGCACTTAATTTTCTTATATTATTTTAAATCTATGACAAAACGCATTAAAATGACTATTTTATGGTGTATTACTGAATTAGATTTTTATTATATTTGTTACAAAAAAATATATGTTGTATTCATATTTTTCAAATTATTTTTTTAATAAATATAATTTTATTTATAATGACAGATGTAAATATTTTTTGTTTTATATATGAAATATGGATGTCAAATCGAAGATTCTTAAAATATGATTATTTTGAGATATAACATAACAAATAAAATAAAATTAAAAAAATTATACAGATTTAAAAATATAAAGAATACATATTTATTATAACAATTATTATATGAATTGAATAAAAAATAGTAAGAGTACTATGGTAACTT